TAAATTCAACTCCCAAACCTGCTCCCAAACTCCCAAATGCAAGTTCGTTCTCTGCAAAGTCAAAGAATGAATTCTAGAAATAACAGAGATTAAGAATGGGAAAAATTTATTGAGAGAAAGATAGTTTCTAAGAGACAGAAGGGGGACCGGAAAATGGATTGCCCACCCACCCTGCTTTTCAAAGGTGTTTTATACAACAAAGCCATGAGGTGAAGTGGGAACAAAGTGGGATAAAACTATAAGACCCCATGGAAGACTACAAGTTGAGCATGAGGTGGGACAAAACCATGACCAACTAATAAAATTATAAGTACAGTCACCTAGGTAATACTGATTAAATGGAGATCACTAATAAATGGAAAACAAGTCAAGTACAAGGCATTTTCCATTTAGGGTATCAATCACTATTCATCTCTAGGGGAAGTAGTACCTCTTTTCCTTTTTATAGTGCTAACCGTTGAATGTGCCTCAGTTCTCCCATGTTGGCTCCTTGAGGGCTAGCCCTGTCTGACTGCCTACAAGATATTTAGATATGAGCGTATTACAGACTCTAGAAAAATGCTGGGAAAACTGGGTCTAATCCCAGTCACTCTGTTAAAGAACATTGTGGTCTGTCTCCTTTGAGATTTTCCCTCCTCTATTAAACATGGGTTTGACAATATGTATATGTTAAGTATCTACTTGGTGCCCCCACCTTTTTAAGCAGTACTGCAGATTAGAGCCAGGACCTTGTGCATGCTCACAAGCACTTTAGTGCTGAGCTACACTGCTACGCCTCAGGCCTCCCCTCCTTTTTGGAGAAGGATCTGGCTTAGTTGCCCAGGCTGGCTTCAAATTTGCAGTCTTCCTATCTCGGGCTCCCAGGTAGCCAGAATTCCAGGCGTGTGCCACCACACTGGCTTTACCTTGCTCTTTGGTTCATTCTTAGAACTTTACTGATGATTACAGAGCTGGTGCTGCAGGCCTTGAGATCAAGGCCTCGCTGCACTGTAAGCTCCACCCCCACCTCCACCCCTGCATGTCCAGATAGGGAAGCCTGGAATCCAAGGGACAGCAGCCTGCTGGGCCTGTTGACTCCAAGAGCAGACACAGATGCTGCCCCTGGGACCCCCGACCAGCTGGGCTGACAGATCCTTCTTGGCAGAGTCCCCTCCCTGTGTGTTTTGCCTCATCAGCTTGGTCTCGGGTTATTGATGAGATCTTAGATTTTGGATTTGAAGCTTGGCTGGCGTCAGGTGGGCTCTCTCTCCTTTTATATTAGAAAATGCTCCAGGGCACTCAGAACTGAGCTGCTTTTGCAAGATCCAAACACACTCTTCTCAGATCTGTTTTTGTCTTTGATTTTGGAGGTTTGTTAAAAGCGGTTAACTATCGGTGGCCCGTTCAGGATAGTTAGTCCACTTTCTTTATGAAAAGGAAAATCTGAAATCCGGGATTTCCCCAGCATCCTATAGGAGGACCTGAAAGTAAACCTATGTAAAGGGGAGAAGGGAAAGAGGGAAAGGGGTACAGACTCCACCTTCCTGCCTTTACATTTGCATCCCACCCCTACTGCATGCTTTGCTGGGATCTCTGGGGAGCCTGCACCCCAAGCCTGAGGCTGCTACCAGCCCTAGCCCGGTCCCTGGCGGGCAGATCTGAGAGCACAGTGCTGGGCCACCCTCCAGTGTCACTTGGCCCTGCCCCTCAGCAGCCAGTCAGGGTGGGACCAGGTGTCTGAGCTCAGCCTCCACAGTGGCTTTCTGTTCCAGCCACAACAGGAGGGCAGGAGGGTCCTCTGCTCAGCACCCTCCTCACGTCCCAGCCAGACTCAGGGCCTGGCCCATTGCCCTGCATCCCCACCACTGCAGCAGCCTCAGGGCACATTGCCGAGCTTTTCCTGGGGAGGACCAATGTGGGGAAACTCACAGGCCACCCAGTCCCTGCCATTGCTGATGGGCAGCCTCTAGCCATGCAGCAGACAGGGCCTCAAGATGTGGTCCATGTGTCTAAGAAGTGATTTTTAAAAATTAATTTGAATTTAAAAATTGATAATTTATGCAGAAGAAAGTGGTGTGTGTGTGTGTGTTTGTGTGTGGTACCAAGAATCAAACTCAAGACCTTGCCCTTGCGAGGCAGGCACAGCACCACTGAATTAAATCCCTAGCCCAGAAGAAAGTGGTTTTAAGTATCTTTGGAACAACTTGAGAATAGGAGAATCCTCCTGCCTCAGCCTCCCCAGGGCTGGGATTACAGGCGTGTGCCACACCACACCCGGCTCCTTAAATTTTATTTTGAAACTGTCAAGTTGCTGGCCTCTAAATTGTGATTCTCCTGCCTCAGCCTCCAATGTAGCTGATATTCAGACACGCACCATCACACCTGCCTGGAATCTACTTTTTCAACTGTAAATTTCATGAAATATACATACAATCTAAGTATTTCCAATGAAAATTTAACATCCACATTGAGAGGTGCGTATAAAATACAAACTGGATTTTAGAGGCAGTATGAAAAAGAAGTGAAATATCTGAGTAATTATTTTTATATTATGTGTTGAAAGAAGTATTGTAGGTATAGCACCTTCATTAAAGTGTATTATTAGAATACTTTCTCAGGCTTCATTTTCTTTTTGGGGGGGTACTGAGGATCGAACTCAGGACCTTGCTCTTGCAAGGCAAGCATGATGACACTGAGCTAAATTCTCAGCCCTTGCATTTTCTTTTTTAAAGAAAATGTGACATTAATGTGGCTGGAGTTATTTCTGGATAGCACTGGTCCCTGAGCCTGCTTTTGTGGCACCTGTAGCTGATGGTCCTTTAGGGCAGCCAGTTAATGACTTAGGGCATTTTTGACCATAGAACTGGTTCTTAAGAAACCAGTGGGGTTTTGAAAGGAAGATAATTTTTTAGTGGCTGACCTGGAACTCACTATGTAGTCCAGGCTGGTGTCAACCTCACAGTGTTCCTCCTGGCTCAGCCTCCTGAGTGCTGGGATTACAGGTGTGTGCCACCACACCCTGCTTAAAACATTATTTCTTTTTTCTTTTTTTGGTACTGGGGATCAAACTCAGGTCCTTGTGCTTGTGAGGCAGGCAGCAGAACCACTGAGCTAAATCCCCAGCCCAAAACATTATTTCTTAATTGTACAGATGACATGTTTCTTGTGGGAAAATGAGGAAGTATTGACTAAGTAAAATTAAACTTCCTATTTTGGAAGGAGAATACATAGGTTTTCTATAGCACTTTCTAGTGATACTTTGTTTCGACTAACATTGACATAAAATACCACTTTGGAGAGACCTTCAAAATTATTTCAAGCGCACAAAAAAAGCTGACTGCATTTATGGTATCTCATTTATGATACGGGACTGTCAGACTTGGACAGTAGCAGAAGATAGCAGCTAGGTTTGGAGAGGGGCTGCTGAGGGTCAGCAAAGATGACTGTGGCTCTCCCAGGGTGGCCTGGGCCCTGGACTGTCGTGTTGAGGCAGGGGAGGGCACTGTGTGACAGAACGGGCAGAGTTGGTGGAGACCCCCTTCTCCTGCCCAAGTTAGCTGGGAAGCATGGGGCACATCTGCCCAGTTCTGTGGGAGGATTCAGGAATTGTGGAATCCTTTGGTGACCAGGAGACAGTTTTTACGTTGACCTCTGTTCTGTGAGCCTGATGGATAGCTGAGGCTGTCACACAACTTGGACTTCCCTGCTGAACTGTTGTGACTTAGCAGCTGGCACATGCTTGAGAAAATATTAGCCGTGGCTGATGCAGTGACAGGATCCCAGGTACAGCAGAATGGCAGTCTCTGGCACTGTGTGCTCAAGTGTGGGTACAACGCATGCTGTAGCATCTTCCCCTACCCGATTTCCCACAAGGGCAGGAGCCACCTGAAGGCAGTGGGGGAGGATAATGACTGTTGTGTGACCTTTGAAAGGGTGGCCCCTCCTGACACACCTGCCGAGGCCCCTCTCTCACTTCATGGCGCCAAGGTGGCTCTGAGATATTCAGCTGGACCCTGTGGGCTTAGCTAGTGTGTGAGGACCCTGTTTCTCCACAAGTGCCATGGGCAGCCTACTGAACACAGACCTTCCCCATGTTATGCCTTGGGCAACTCCTGACAAGCTGTCTCTTGAAGGAAACACTTTTAAAAGGCACAAAAAGAGCTTTCTTGTTGAAGAATTTCTGTAGGGACCACTTAATAGTTATGAAATCTTCACCTTTCTTTGTCTTTTGTAAAATCAAACATGCATCTTCTGATTTGTGACAAGGAAAGCAGATTTGGGCAAAGAGAGGCCTGAGAAATGGGCTGGAAGATGCAGGTTGTGGGCTGTCCTCAGCCTACCCCAGGAGAGCTAGGTGTGGTGCACACCTGTAATCCCTCTGCTCTGGGAGGCTGAGGCAGGAGGGTTGTTAAATTCAAGCCTATCCAGGCAACTTAATGACTTACTTAGACCCTATTTCAAAATAGAAGGAAACAAAAAGGTCTGGGAACATAGCTTATTTTGAAGACCCTGGGTTCAATCTTCAGTACTGCCAGAATAGAGGCTGCAGACGAGTGTGTGATGGCCTTCTTCCCATTACTGACCCAGATGAGCCCCTCTCCCAGAAAGTCACTGCTAAGAGTAGCAGAGTTCTCCATATGTTTAGAACTTAGCACTTGGATTCTGAATCATCATGTTGTAAAGGCTTGGTAGCCTCTCTTAATTTTTGTTCCCTATTTTAATTGTACAAACTCTACAGTAAAAATAATTAAGGATATCTTTTAAAAACACGCCATTCATCTTTTCAGTCTTTGTACACATGCAGATGTAATTTTTATTAGAGAATGATCAAGGCAGAAGTACTGTTAGTCTTTGATTTTTCATGTACACTTATATCTGAATAGTCCTTCCTATTACCTGGTATCTTCCTAGTTACTGTTTAGTGCCTGCATACTCCTCCAGTGACTTGATTGACTGTAATTTACTAAATTGTTATTTCTGGTTCCTGTTCTTAATGGTATTTCCCCGCTTTGTCTCTGTAGGAAGTTCTCCAGCAGCTGATCGTAATGAATTTGCCCAATGTTTTGATGATTGGCAAAGACCCACTGTCTGGTGAGTGAAAGGCCCCCTTGGCCCCCCATAGTGTCTGAGCAGTGCCATTGGCTTTGGACAGCTGTTGGCCACCGAGCTCTGGCTGCCAGCTTAGAGCCACACAGTGAAAACACGTGATGGTTTTGGTGAGATTTTAAAGAGCGGGTTTATTGCTCCAAGGCATTAAGCCAAGAGCGTGTTTATTCCTTAAGAAGGAATCTGTCCCAGCCCGTCAGATGTGCACACAGAGGCAGATGAAACCACTGCTTTGTCCCTGCCTAGAAGGTGGTGTTTAGGTGTCTGAGGATGTTCTCTCTGGGGCGTTGGCAGCCCAGTAAAAGTGGAATCAGATTCCACAGTGATGGAGGGAGGTATCTTAGGCAAGAAGTGTCTTCTTGGGGAGCTCACATCTGTCTTTTGCTGGAATCCCACCCAAGACACCTTTCTCATGCTCCATGATAAGAGCTCAGAAGGATGTGGTCATTTACAGCTTACCCTCGTTGGACTCTGAGCGCTTACCAAGCAAGGGCTGTGTGTCCTCTTGGTGTCTGAGGTTCAGTGTCAGCTTTAAGCTTCCAGAAAGTCAGAGCTTAATTTGTACCTGCCAGGCAACTCCTTGGTGACTTAAAAGAGGGCAGCAGGTTGGCTCCCTTCCCTGGGCATCCATGGCTCATAACATACATGCACAGGCCCTGGGCAGACTTCCCTGCCGGCTGGGTCTCCCTTTGTTCCATGGGAGTCCTCATTAGCATATTAGGACCCCTCGGATAGGCGAGATGTCAAGGAAGACAAAACCCACACCCACAGGATGGAAGAAACCAGGGATCCCAAATGTTGTAGGCTTTTAGGGAAGGGACCGAAGCTTCCTCCTGTTGGCATCTTGTCACCCTGGTCTCAGGGGAGTCTGGCTGTCCTTTCTCTGCCTGTGACAGTAGCAGTAGCCAAGTTGCTGTGAGCGGGAGGAGAAGTACACCGAGTGACCAGACAAGAACATGACTCGTAAGAATCAGTTCTCCCTTGGTGCCCCGTCCAGGGTGCCCCAGCAGCAGCTTCCTTATGCAGGGTGCTCTTTGTGGGCTCCTGCCCACCACGTGTCTACCTTTTTTTTTTGTATGAGCCCAAGAAAGATGCCCTTGGCCTCCTGCTGGCCTTGTGTGTGGCCCCTGAGCACTCCCTGCCTGGCACTGTGTCCCTGCCAGGTACACTTGAGCCACCTGGTGGCTCCTTGGCAACAGGCAACTTCCCCACTCTGGGTGTGTGTCCCCCTCACCGCCAGCTCTGCCTTAGGGCCATGTGTTTTCTGGCTTTATTTCAAGGTTCCTCCACGGAAAGGTGGAGGATACCAGAGCAGCCCATCCCAGCCCTGGTGTGGGGCTGGGGACACTTGGGACCCTTGGGACTTCTGTATAACCTCAGCCCAGCAAGACTGCTGCCTTCCAGGTTCATTTGGGTGCTGGTGTTGATGGCAGGATGAAGGCAATCCCCAGTGAGGTTGGGAATTCGAGTTTAGGTCTCCTCTGCTCTGGAGACGTGAGAGACTCATTCTGGATCTCTCAGGGAGCCTGCCATGCTCCAGGCACTGAACACAGATTCATACATGGAACAGGGCTGGTGCTCAGTGGTAGAGAGCATGCCTACCATGCACAAGGCTCTGGGTTCATGCCCTGTAAGACACAGACAGACAGACAGACAGACACACACACACACACGAAACAACCATGTGCTTCTGGGATGTGGCTGTATCATTCCCATTTGTAGATCAGGGTTATATTTATGAGCAGAGACTTCCAGGGTTTCAGTGACAAACCCTTGGTCACTTGGCCTGCAGCAGAGCAGCTGATTGGAAGACTGAGCTCCTGTCTGTATCATGCATGCATGACTGCTCTAGTATTGGAACTATAGGCAACTGCCAATATTCAGTCTTTGTGACCTACATTTTGGCAGAGGTGGATGCTTCAACCCAATAATAAACACATCCTCTGTGCCCCACCCAGCCACCCTGTCACTTGTGTAATGTGCGCACCCTCTGGCCGGTCCTCTTCCACCCTGATTGTGGAAGCCTCTTCCTTCCTATGGGATATCTTCCCCCTCCAGAGGTGGAGAGATTGTCTGTGTGCAGAGAACACAGGTTCCCACCCCAGATCTGGCACTGAATGGAAATACCTGTGGATAAGGGAATGCTGATTTTTAAAAACGGCTTCATTGAGGCATAGTTTGTGTACTTTAAAATTCTCCCATTTTAAGTGTATGCTCCAGTCATTTTTATTTCATAATTATGAGGAGTGATTGAAAAATATGAACAGGTTTTTTTGTTTTGTTTTGTTTTTGTTTTTTGATATCAGGGATCAAACTCTGGTCCTTGCGCTTACAGGGCAGGCAGTGGAACCACTGAGCTAAATCCCCTGCCCCCACTTAAATTTTTAAAAATACCACAGTAAAAGGCAACATTGCCATTAAGCTACGTAAAAATCTTGCCTCTTGTTTTGAACACTGACCCTGGGGAATGAGCCCAGAAGTGGCAGGGTGTCAGATCCGTGGAATAAGGTGTACAAGGACACAGTGTAATGTCTCACCAGCCTGCCCCTCTGTCAGATAGCGCATGGCAGTGGCATTCACCACTTTCTGGTCACACCTCACGAAGACATGAAAGCAGCTTCCAAAGCTGCTTCAGGTGGCTAGAATGATGGGATAAGTGTATTCGAAGTGCGGGGGATTTCTTGAGGGGCATTAATGGTGTCTTTTATAGTAATAATCTTTTTTTTGAGACAGGGTCTTGCTATGTAGATCAGGCCAGCCTTGAACTCACTATGTAGCCCAGGCTAGCCTTAAACTTGCAACAATCCTCCTGTCTCAGCCTCTCCAGTGCTGAGATTACAGGTGTGTGTCACACACCCAGCTAAATTTTTAAAATGTAAATATTGAGTGTGTATTTTGATCATCTCTTATGTACAGAGTTGTGCAGTCCTCACCCTAGCGTAGTTAAGAGTGTTGCAGGGAAGCTGGTTCGCAGCCACTGACAGGTAACTGGGCGGCCGGATGTCAGTGGGACGGGGAGCAGAATAACACCCACGTCCTCTCAGGCCCTGTGGGCTGGCTGACGTGCTGGCCCACGGCCTCCTCAGGTGCCAAAAGACCAGAGCTGGCCTGGCTCAGGTGCACAGGGCTCAAATGGGTGGGCTTGAAAGGGCAGGAGCCACTGGCGAGAAGACACAAACATGAGTACCAGAGGCAAAGAGGTGTTTACAGAATATTGTTTTTAGTTTTAAATTTTAAAGACAGATGTGTGGAGCATTTTGTGTTTCTTTTTTTTTTGTGTGATTGCCTGGGGTGGAGGGGGTGCATGTTTCCCTCCATCATTCTCACATTTGTGGCAGGGACATTTGTACTCTTTTTTTGGCAGATGCTGACGTTGTGCTGTTAATTATAACATTTTTTACAGTTTGGGGTTATGTTTATGTTTTGGGTAAATATTATCACAGTGGAACCAGGTCCCAGATTCCAGTAGAGATTCTTATCCACCCCTGCGGCCTCTCCCCACCAGACCCCTCTCCCCTGCTGTGAGACGATGACACTTTCCTGCCCTTGGACCAGGCAGCATACAGGATGCTCAGGACTGAGGTTGTAGGGTTCCCTGTGTCTCACCAGCCAAATCTCATCTGTCTCTTCCCAACGTCCCTTCCTTCAGCCATGCACTTGGGCTCTACCTTTAGGATGTGCACAGGAGCTGAGCTTTCCTCTGCCCCACTGGCGCCCTCCTGGCCACCACCACCTCTGCCTCACCGCTCACAGTGCATGCACTCCCAGCGTGGCTACCCAGTACTGCTCTGCTGAGACCGCTCACTCTTCTGTCCCTGCTCCTAGCACCAAGCCTGTGTTTGCCTGCTGCACCCTTCCTCAGGCACCCACGGGAGCAGCCCCAGCAAGCCCTGCTCACTGCCAGCTGCTCAGTGTGTGCCCCCATCCTCTTCACCCTGCTCTGCAGGCCTTTTTCTCACAGTGCCCATCACTTGTATTGCACCAACCAGGGGACTTATTTTCCCACATCCATTGCAGTGCTCCAGTGCATTGTGCCATTGTGCAGTCTCCAGTGAGGGCAGGAATCGTTAGGTTTTTGTTGGCACTGTTAGTGCATCCAGTGTGGATCAGTGCCTGGCATATAGTAGGTGCTTGGTAAACATAGCATAAGTGCTAGAGGCCCACTTCTGCCTCCTTTTCTGTCCTTTCCTCACTTTGTGCTCTCTTAAACTGGGTCTCCTTACAGCTGTTTAACCATATGCTCTCATAAGAAAAAAGACCAGGTGTCAGTGATCAAGGTCAAGTGAGAGTCCATCCCTGCCCAATGCCAGGAATGTGTCTCTTCCAGGCCAGAGATGGCCCACTGAAAGCCGCACTGCCTTGCCGGCTGTGCACCCATTTAACGTATGTGCGTCGTTTATTCTACAGGAAGCCGTATGAAGTCCAAGAGCTCATGCCTGTTTTGTCTGTGAAATGAGGCGGTTGTACTGGAGGAGAGCATTGTTTTCCCTTCCAAGATTTGTATCAAGGTGAAGGGGTGGTTTGTAGACTCGTAAACTGTGGAGCCCACCTAAGTTATGTAGACTAGGAGGAAAGGAGACTTACAGGTGCAGAAACCCAGCCCAGAGAGGGTGAGAAGTCCTTCCAAGATGCATGGTGTGTGGGGGTCCCCTAGGTTAGCAGGTATTTACCGCTATGAATTTTGCAGGTCGCTATAATTGTGGATGATTGGCAGAAGGACTGGCTGCCACCATTGTTCTGCCTGGGGAAATTCTTGCATTCTAAAGACCATGTGAGATTCCAGGATCCCGAAGAGGGGCTGTGATCCTGGGTTTGTGCTCTGCAGGGCCCTGTCTGTTCACACAGCTGGTACTTCACAGGAAAGCCTTGGGGCTTTATCATTGTTGCTCAGTGGTCTGGCCCTCAGTCCTTCATGCCCTGCTTCACATGATGGCTACAGAGTGACTTCTCATGGCACTTTTTAAGGGTTACGCAGAATGCCCAAA